TTTAATAGAATGGTGACATGTGTGTATTGTGGGACCCACTAATGGTTTTTTGGATGATTTCTGTTAGGTGGTGGTGACATCAATTTTTTTGGTTTTTATGTAGTGTTATAATAAAATTTTAAAATTTTGTGGTGTTATAATCCATTTTTTTGAGAACTTTGTGGTGTTATTTTCTAAAATTTCCTAATAAGAAATTTGAAAGTGGAGCAAGTAATAAAATACAGAGGGAGTATTGAGTCAATTAAATGCTATGATTAATAAGAATTTTTTCATGATACCTCATTAAAATATAGGAATATATACACACATAAGAAAAGAATACTTCAAGAACATATATCCTTATAACGAGTGTCCTTTACAAAATATAAGCCCTAAATATTTATACAAAAATATGTTTATCAGCGGCCAACTAGAATTAAACATTGCTAGGGATGTCATCGATATCCTTCTTCAACCTTGGGATGTCTAGATAGCCCTCAAACTACTTGTCACTAGGCTCAGCTTAACCAATGACCAATTGACTCGGTTGTTGAAGTTGATCTCAAAGTCCCTTGTACTAGATAGTGTGGATTCCCTTGTTCGATCCTTGAGTTGTCTTGACTCGATAATAGTCACTAACATAAGTGATCAATCTTTTTGTCAATCATTGGCTAGAGCTAGGGCAAGGAGAAATAACCCTAACTTCCTTAGCCCAGCCTTAGCAAACCAGAGTAACTAACGTTGGCCAAATCGCTTACATCAATCTTGAGGAGAATGTAATTCTTACCAAGTCATGGTTGCCGTATGTGTTAAAGGCATTTGGGATGGCACGCCCCTTATCAGGATCTTATGTGATGTCCAGTTTGTCTCCCCATCGTCTACAAATTCGTCGGTTTAACTTATTGCGTTTGCAATGTATGTAGTTACACATCCATTTGGTGTATATGTCCTTTGTCAGGTGGTGGTTGGGACATTTGCATTACCTGGGTAACTCAGGGACCTATTTGCTCTAATACAACTCGAGGTTAATCTATTGCAAGGCCTGGCTTGTGGTGAATTTCTTCTCCATTATTTATTATTTGCACCTTAATGCCTTAAAGATCCTTTGGAACAACAAGGTTAATCTCTTCAATCGGGTTGATGATACCCCCTACCATTGGAAGATTTTTGTTGGGTGGATGAAGAAACTTTTGATCTTTAAGAGAGAAAAATAGAAAGTGAGTATGCTCATATTTTAAAGAGAGAGAGAGAGAGAGATTCTTCATAAATAAAGTTGGTGGGGAGGTTGAAATGATCATTGAGCGATTCATTAATTTGGGAGGATGGATGGTTTTCTTAGTGGATATAAAACCACGTCTTTACCAATGTCTCACACCATATGATACTTGCCCTTACAATTCCTGGTTCTCGGTGAATTGAGATAAAAAATGTACTCCCTCTATCCCATATTTATATGCTTGTATTCCATTTTAGGTGTCCCAAAGATGTTATGCCTATTAGAGAATCTTTCTATTTTTAGTCTATAATAATCTTTGACAAAAATACCTTCATCCCCCTTATTTATTGACCCAAATGTCTTCCATTTTTTACTGAGTTGGCATTAATATTAGGGGCAGCTCCCTTGGTTCTGATGAATTGGTTTTCGTTATTTGGTCCTTCTCTTTTTGACATAATTACTCCAAAAATAATACTTTCTCTCTCTGTCTCTCTAAACTTCTCTAGAAACTTCATCTTCAACCTTGGTTTTGTTCCTTCTCTCTCTTCATTTCTTGCGATTTCATCCGAGTTTTAGCTTAAACTTTCGATTTTCTTGCTTTAATTTGTCCCCTTTATATAACCCCTTAACTAATTTCACCTTATGTTGGTTGTATAAAATTAAATAAAAAAAAACTTGAATATTGTTCATTTTCTCACTCTTTTAAACATTCCAAATCTGGTTCTTTGGCTTGCAAATTGTGATTATATCACTGATTTCACTAAATTATTAAACTATGAAGAATAAGTTGGTCGCAATAGTTGTTGCGGCGGTTTTCAAGCGAGCTTGTTGTTCTCGGCGGCGACCCTTTTGAGGATTTCAGTTACAATCCATAGAAATGGGGTTAGATCGAAGAAAATGCAGAGAAAAATTGAGGGAGAATCTTGGATTATTGATTGATTGTTTTGTTGGTTTGTTTGGGTGGGTAACTATCTGTTTCTTCTTGGACATAGTTGAAGCTTGTGAATGGAGAAAGAAGATAAAGGTGATGGGGTTATAGTAGTACATGTACAAGGATTAAATTAAGAAAATGTGTTTGATAGGGAAGTGGATGTATGGGCGGTTAGATGGTGTTGATGGATGGGGGAAGGTGGAGATACGGGAGAAGAGCCATTGTTGGTAATGTAGTGAGAGAAAGTAATATATTGGTGAGGGATTATTACTAGAAATGAGAGAAAAGAGAGAGAAAAAACAACTTTCATTTAATTTCTTTTTATTTTTTGTAAATGTTTATTGCATTATTAAATGATAGCCCACATGGGTGCTTGTACTTCCAATGATAATATTTAAGGAATCTCTCATTTTTCTTAATATCCGTGAAAATTGAAAATAGGCATGTAAATATGGGACGGAGGGAGTATTAGTTACCCATATATCAATTTTGGTTAGTCCAATATTATATTTGTGTGGGTAATTTCAAAAGAATTTGAATTGAAATAAATTGCAAGCCGGTTTAATCAAAATATCTTTCATTAATAATAAAGCCTTTTACAAGACTTGGCGTTAACATATTGTCTATAGACAATATTTTTTATGAATTTAGATCTTTACAAAAGTTAAGATATGGTTTTGAAATATGTTTGTGACACTTAGCTTAACATATCTCTAAAGAGAGCTTAATATATATTAAACTAAGGGCATGTTAACCCATCATGTTTGTGTTCTTAAAAAAAAAATAAAAAAAAAGAAAAAAAAACTTGCCTTCCCAACTTCCTTGGGGGCGATCTTCTAACTCCTTTTTGTTGTCTCCTTCTAGCGACAAGAACATCAGCTCTCTGGCGACGACGATTGCTTCCCCTCTATGCTGATTTTGTAGCTTGATCTTCTTCTGGTTATGGTGAAAGGAATGGTGTTCCGTGGTTTTTTGGATGTCCTGCGGGAGAGTTGCAACACCAAGACTGGCCTCTGGACGCCTGTACCTGCAAAACAACGGAGACTCCTGTGGGTGGGAGTTCCACCTCCGACAATCAAGTCAGAATGTGTTCGGATGTAAAAAGTGCGGAATGTAAAGGGGGATCAGGCTCCTCTTAGGAGAGAAGTGATCATCCGGCTATCTTAGATAGCCTCGAAATATGAGCCTTAGCTCTCAAGAAGTGCAATTAAAGCTCAACAATTAATGTACACGTGTGTTTTAGATTTTCTGAATGATGTTCCTCAGGGGGGACATCTTCCCTTTTATAGGATCTCGTAATGTGTGCCCCGTACTAGGTTTTAGAAACCTAGGACTGACTAGGCTTGTCTAGGTATTTGGGCCGTTAAAGGCCACTTTCCTAGTTGGCAATTTGTTTGCCACGTGTCGTGGCCTGATTAGTCCACCTTGGACCTCTCACGAGGTGACATGTGGTGGGCTCTGGTTGGTCCACATGGATGACACATGGCAGGATCTCATTGGACCACGTGGCGGGTTAAATCCCCTAATCATTTTCCCCTCACAGAGGTGATGTGGCTTGCCACGTGGCGCCTGTGACAAGTGTCACACTCTGATTGGCCAACGGTTTTTACCATCTTTTTTTTTTTAATTTTTTTTTTAATTTTTATTTTGACTGTCCCTTGAAATTCACCCCACTATAAGTAGGGCATGTCCCAATCATTTTTTGGATATTTCCAAAAAATTCAGACAGAAATCTTGACTTGAGAACTTTGTCTTTTTCTGAGAAAGAACGACTGCCGCCTACTACCAGACCGCCTGCTCTTACAGCCGCTGCAGATTTTTCAAGCACCTTCATCTTCAGAGACTAAAGGTAACCGCCTATTTTTCTTTCGTACTTTCTCTTTGTTTTTTCTTTTTGAAAATGGTTTCCCAAAAGCACACGGCACGGCGTAGGTTAGTGATTAGCCGGTCACCGGGGACGGCTGAATCTAGAACTAGGAGTGCCGACTGCCCCTTGCTGGATCACCCTTTGCGAACTGCCCCATGCCCGACTGTCTATGTGTCTGTGCGGGACACCATGGCAAGAACTAAGAGAACAACAAGGGCGACAAACTCAGACAGCTCCTCCTTCTATGCGCCTGTCAGTGAATTATCTGACGTGCCGCCTGGCGCCCCAAGCACCCCTAGTGATTCCATTTTAGAAGAATTAGGGGAGGAGGCTCAAAATGACATTCCGGGCTTTGATGATCTAGCCCATCAGGGGGACGCTAGGTCCGAGAGCTCAGCCAGCGACTCTGAGCCAAGTACCTCCAGCAAGTTCTCTGACGACTCTGAAAAGAGGCACTCTCGGCTACAGACAGCGAGATAATCCTTCTCAGTAGAATTAAGAGAAAATTGGGCGGAGCCGTTTGCTACCCGCCGAGAGTAATATGCCGCCTACTATCATCATGTTCCCGCAAGCAGGCAGAAAATGATGACGGACAAAATTGGGAGCTTCAGAGCTGACCATGTCATGGGGAATGGTTATGTCCTATGCACGCCGGATGCCGAGGACACTGTAGTTTGGCCAGAGAAGTCCAGCTACGGGGACGCATGTTTTGGCTACTATGAGGCGGCTATTAAGGCAGGCCTAAGATTTCCTCTACATCTGGCTGTGGAGCGAATCTTCGACGGATACCAGTTGGGTGTCTGGAAACTGGCCCCAAACTCTTGGTTCAACATATTAGGCTATGTTACCAGCTGTGAAATGCATCAAGTAGACCCCAGCTTTGAAGCATTCCCCCCCATGCATTACCTCAGCCAGACCCCAAAAACAAGCGGGACCGACTAGCACTAGTAGAAAAAATGAAATAGGCACCGCATTTTTCGCACCGGTTCTTGAAAACCGGTGGGAAAAGAAATGGGCGGGATTGGGAAAAAGACTTTTTCCACCGGTTCTAACCAAACCGGTGGGAAAAGTATGTTTTTCGCATCGGTTCTAACAAAACCGGTGGGAAAAGTGAGTAATTTGTACCGGTTCATTTCAAACCGGTGGGAAAAGTGTTATAAAATAAAAAAATAAAAACCGCTTATATTCTTCTTTCTTTCTCTTTCAATTCCTCAATCTTTCCTCCTCTCTCGTCTGCACTACCTCTCTCTCCTCTCCCTCTCCTCCATTAAAACGAATCTCTCTGTACTCCTTTCTCTCTCTGTACTCCTTCATATCTGTCTCGCTGTACTCCTTCCTCTCTCCCTCCTCCATTTAAGCGTTTCTCGCTGTACTCCTTCCTCTCTCTCTCCTCTATTTAAGCGTACTCGAAATTCTCCATTGAAGGGGCTTCTGAGCTTTCTCGCCTCCATTGAAGCAATCTCTAAGGTTAGATGCTTCTTTTTCTTTAATCATCTAATATTAATTTTGACAATCTAGTGTTGTTTCGGTTGAAAACAATGGGACCTTGCCGAAGGTCCGCTGAAATGGAGAAGACTGGATTCGGTCCAAGTTGTGTTGGGCCGAAGGTTTCCTGCGCAGTGAACACACGTAAACTAGCCTCGGGGGTGTTTCCGAGGAAGGCCCCTCCGATGCTAAAGTCAGTACAATGTGTAAAAGGAAGACACTATGCAAGAGAGTTTGTAGCTTGAGGCTTTTGTGGAATATTTCTGAATGCAAGAATGAGCATATGAATCTGAACGTGAATGTATGAATGTGTCAATATGATGGCTTTTATACCTCATCATACATGGTGAGATTGGGCCCTAGCCCAATTGGCATGCTTTGTGGGCTGACCTTTGACTTTTGTGCAATTGGAGAGTTGAACCTTGACCTTGGGCTTTTAACTGGATCATTTAGTGCTTAGGCCCAATTTTGACTAAATTGGACCCAAACAACTTGCCCCCCAGACCCGATTTGGAAGGATGACGGGTCGGGTTTGATTTAACTCAGAAAAGGAGGGAAGTAAATGATTTAATTGATCCAAAAATTTGAATTTAAACCGTAATTAATGAGATAACAACGGTTAATGATTTGCGGAAGTTGGACGGATAATGGGCAGTTTATTCACAAGACATGTGTTTAATGGTTACTTAGTGGGTATTTAAGAGAAATTAAAGCACAGACTCTTCGTATCCCGTACCTGGAGATATAAACAGAGGCGCGTCATTCTCCTCACTTATTCACCAACACAAACCCAGAATTCCTCGAGAGAGAAACCAAGAACCCGCATCAAAACTTCGCAAATTCCCCGAGCATTGAGCTTAGAAACTGAGACTTGCCACTACGAACTCGTAAATCGGCAACTTTCGCTTCAGATTAAGGTAAATTCCTTTGATTTCAGTTTATTTTTCTTCGAATTCGAACTCCTTCCCCTTTTCTTTCGACTTTTCTCTTCGAAATAATCCATGGCAAGAGGAGTTAGAGGTAGAGCCCGTGCTCCAAGAAGAGCAAGGCCGATTCCCGATCCTAGGAACAGGATTGGGACCTGGAATGGTCGAAGGCCGGAGTCTGACCCTGCTGAAGGGATTAGGGCGACTCCCCTTTCCTCGGCTCCTCCTCAAAGAACGGATGAGCCGAGCGCTTCTGGACGGGATGATGAAGTTCCCGCTGTCCTTTGGGATATCCTCCCTGGGTTTTCAGAATGGGAGAATGCCGAAGTCGTTTCGGCCATGATAAAGAACCGCCCCTACTCATGGTGGGTAGAGAACGCCGATCAATATCGATTTGCCGAGCAAATTGAGTTGCATTACGGCATTTTTGAAGCTGATGGATATTGGTGCCGAATTCCCTCAGCATCCGATAGAATCCATCGTCCACCCCCGGGGTATGTGGGGGTGTACACGAGACAACTTCAGTACGGGCTGAGGTTCCCTTTGGACGTTTTCGTCCGAGACTTGCTGATCCATTACAACATTTCCCTATGTCAGCTAACCCCCACCAGCATCCGAAGGGTGATGACATACTTATGGGTCTGCAAGTTCTTCAAGTACGTGCCGAACCTGCACTGCTTCAGAAAGCTCCATCGGCTAGTGCCAAATATTCAAAGTGGGCACGGAAGCCATGGTTCTGGGTGGTACCGGATTGAGTCCCGGCCCCAATACTTGACCATGTGGCCAAATGACTCTTCAGACAAGGACTGGAGAGGTCAATGGATTTGGGTTAGGGCACCCACAGATCCGGGCCACCCTTGCGTCTTCAGCGCTCCCCGGTACTTAGCTGAGCCTGATCCCGAAATGGGAAGTCTAGGTCCCCCCGCAGATAACGGGGCGGATCCGAACCTGGATCAGCAACATATCTTCGGCAAGCTGCCGAACCCGGGGGAAGTGGTCGAATGCAGCATATCCCGGAGACTTGGCTCCCCGATACGCATTACGTTTTCCAAGAGAACATGCTAGCAGCTGTTGGCCTCAGCCGAAAGTTTAAGGATGGTAAGCTTCTTCGGCTGGGGCCGAGGCTTTTTAACTACCTCTTTTTCTTCTCTCGCTTTGCTTTTTTTATGCTGTGCCGATATATCTGAGCTAAACTTTCCCCTTTCCTTTTTTCAGAGCGGGACGAGACCAACGTTGGCATTAACTACGCTCGTCTTGGTGTTAACCGAGAGCGAGTTGTAACTGAACGGGCCCCGTCTATCATTGAGCCGAGGCATAGGGAAGTTCATCTGGACTCTTCCCACTTCCAAATTGAGGCTGTTGCTCTGTATCAGAGGCAGAAGCCTTGGTGGAAGAAGAGAGACCCTTGGTTTCAGCTGCTGAACGAAGAAGCTGAAGCTGCCCGCACAGCCGAAGAGGTTGCACGGGTACTCGAGGCTTGCGAAGGAGGAGAAGGGTCCTCCAGAGCTGCTGAAGCCGAAGCTGCAGCTAGAGCAGCTGAAGAAGACGAGGCTTTGCTGAAGACCTCGGTGAGCTTTCAGACAACTTTTTCTTCTTCTTTTTTTTTTTTTTTTTTTTTTTTTTTGTTTTTGTTTTTACTCACATTCTTCTTCCCCCCTGTCTGTTACAGTCTTAAGAGAGTAACAGACACAGAGAAGGCAAAGCTCCTGTTCGTCCCGAAGACCAAATACAAGAGTCTTCAGACTCAGATATGGACGAGCAGCCCCTTCTGAAAAGGCGCCGAAGGATGGCCATCATCGACCCTCATGACTTTCAGCAGAGGCCGATGACCATCGGCGTCGCAATAAGGGAACCTGAGGAAGGCAATGGATCGCCGAGGGTTCCCCAGCCAACACCCCAATCTCCTCAAAAGACCCCTCCGCCACCTCCTGAGATGGAGGTGGATCAGAGAACTCCCGAACCTAAGGGAGGGGTCCAAGAAGAAATGAAGAAGAGTGCTGATGAGCACGAAAATAAGGATGCCGTGATGTCCAGCGCTGAGGGCTTCACGGCAGACATCGCAAGAGAGGTTGAGGCTTTCGTCCTCACCCCTGAAGAAGAGGAGGTCATAGTAATTGACTCCTCTGAGAAGGATGATGCTGAGACAACCAAAGCTAATCAAGCTCCATCGTCATCCTTCCCTTCTTTCCAGACTCTGCATTCTGGAGAAATGGGTTTCTCGGCCCCCCGAATTCCAATCCCAGACCACATCTGGGACCTCATATGGGGTCAAAACCGAGAAGGAGCTGCAGCCTACTTCGGCAATTTTGCTGGCATGTCCGAAGTAGACAGGGCAAGGATCTGGTCGCTGAAGGCCACTGCTGGGATGGGCGAATCCAGCAGATCAGTTCCTGACCCAGCCAGGTCTAACCAGCTGCTGATGATGCAGGTAATTTTCCTTCATTTCCTCCGAAATTCAGCTCTTTATATATATATATTTTTTTTTTTATTTATTTTTGTCTTCCTGTTTTCAGTTCGTGCACAATCAGACTCTCACTGTAGAGCTGATAGATACCCTACAAGATAGGGTAGACGCTGCTGTGCACGAAAAGAAGGTGGCTGAAGAGGAAGTTAAGCTTGCTAAGCTGAAGCAAGCAGCAGCTGAAGAGAAGCAGCAGGAGGTTGAGGAGTACGGGAAAAAAGCTGCCGAAGCCCTGAAAACCTTCTGCGATGCTATGGAGAAGGAAGTTTTTCCCCCACTGATGGAAGGGGAAAAATTCCTCCAGGAGCATATGGGAGTGGACGTCTCCAAATTCAAGGCTGCTGTTGAGAGCCGAATTCAAGAAGGAACTGCTGCACAAGCTGAAGTGCAGCAGCGTCTAGAGGCTCTTGAAGCCAGCCGAATGGCTGCTGAAGAGTTGCTCCTGGCCAAAGACGTCCAACTCTCAGAGGCTGCTGCTGCTGCTGAAGCCCAAAGAGCTAAATTCCAAGAGGCTGAGGATCAATTGCTGATCCAGAAAGTTGAAGTGGCCCAGGCTCAGACAAAGGCTTTCCAAATTCAGCAAGAGCTGAATGAGCTGAAAGGTTCCTCCTCCAAAGTCGCTGATGAGCTGAAGAAATCCAAGGAAGACTTAGAGGAGACCCAGAAGAAGCTGGCTGATGCTGAGGCTTTACTCAAAGTCCGTGTTTATACCCAAGAGGAATATGAGATGGGTTTCAGAAACGGATTCCGAGTATGCCGAAGAGTCTGCCTTCATGCTGAGCCGAAGCTGGACTGGTCTAAATGTGCTGAGTGGGTCCAGAATCCCGAAGACCCTCACATGAAGTATGCAACTCCAGCCGAAGCTGAAATTCTTAAGGCTGAGGAAGCCGAAGAGGAAGCTGAAAGACTGGAGTTGGAAGCTGAGCAGAGGGAAAGGGAGGCTCGGCAAAGTGCAAAGCCCGCTTCTTCTGCTGCTGGGGCTGAGGCCACCATGGGGCTCAACGCTGATCAGTCTGATCCTCAGGCTGAAGCATAGGAACTCGGGCAGTCGTCTTCAGAATCTTGCGGTTCATCATGTGCTTAACTTTAGACTTGCCGCTTTCTGAGTTTTTTGCCTTGTTTTTTGCTTCAGCTTGCCTTGTCGTACAGCAGTTTTATTTTTTTGCTTATGTACGTATTTCGGCAGCTGTTATTTTCCGCTTGTGGGCGGCTGCCGATACTGAATTATTGAACTTGTAGCTCAATTTTTGAGCATGAAATATTAATCTAATGCTCTTTTCTTCAGTTGCTTTATTTTGATGCTCTTTTCTTCAGTTGCTTTATTTTTGAATGCTTTACTGTTTCTTTTCTTCAACTCTGCCGAACATAGTTGCTTTGAGTGCTTCTTGCCCCCCCAGAAATTGGAGTATGACTTCAGTTGAATAAGCAATTTCTGCACTTCTTCAAAATGGGTATCCGAAACACAGGGCCAACTGAAGGCAATGCTTCTGGGATACAAGTCTTACTGAAGATTGACTGTCTGAAAGTTGGATATCCGAAACACAGGGCCAACTGAAGGCAATGCTTGGGATATTAGCTTTCTGGGACTAACCTCT